ATTTCCGTTTCCCAGTTGTGCTGTGTGATTGCTGATCGTCGCTTCCGCTCTCATCATTTCCTGATCCAAACCGAGCTGAACCTCTCCCACAAACATGGGCACATAGAGTCTGGTCATGTGCACCGCTCTGCCCTTGCACGCAGCTACGGTGAATAATTGCAGACACTCATCGATCACCGTCGGATGGACAGCCTTGCCATCTTGGCGGCCGCGCATCAAAGCCGCAGCCACACACCTTGAAGGGTCGGCGGTGATATCATGCATTCCTCTGAAGGTAGGTCCATAATTCAATCCCACCTTCTCCAGCGTCCGATACCAAAGCTCGGATGAAACGCGCCGAGGGAAAACTTGTGGCGCACGTAGTTCGGAATCAACCTTGTTTACGCCGGATTTCGCTCGACCAAAAGCATGTCTGATCCACTCGGTCCCGTTATACGACATTATGGAGAACTCATACCATTCAGATTCTACGCGATCGTTGACTCTGACGTGTCTTGCGGTTGTAAGAAGTTCAATAGGGTCTGACCGTGGCAGGATCAACGGAACCTGCATGGAAAGGTTTTGAATGGTGCAATCGTTGCTGTTGGAGAGCTGGCGCATGGCTTCGTGAATCATGGCAATGTATCCGGCGCATGGAAACACAACCTCCCCCGACACACGATGATCCAACAGCCATGGCACGTTTCTGGTGTCCAGCACGTTCCTCCATCCCGGCTCGAGATCACTTGCCTCCAGCATTCGCGAACCCAAGAGCTCGTGATTGGGATGCGCGCGGAACCTCCAGTTACGACTTAGACGGCTTTCCTGCCAGTTTAAGCTGTTTCTGTCCCATGGATATGCGGGCAGGTTGGTGACGATGTTCCCTTTCCCATTTACCGCCTGAAAGTTCACAGGGTGCCCATGGAGATAAAGCTGGCCCACTGTTTTTAGTAGGTAAAGGGACTGGCTTTCTGACTTGACGAGAGTCGGAAGATAGACACTGTCAATCGACTTATATGTGAAAATTTGGCGGAGTGGGCCCGAAAGGACCGAATGAGGTCCAATCTCGAGGAAGATCTTTCTGCGCTCAGGACTCTCGGCCAGAACACCATCAATCGCAGTCGAAAACAGAACAGGGAGTTCAAGGCTTTTCCGCCAATGCCCTGCATCGAGGGCAGCTGGGTCTGATATCAACTTACCGGTGACAGTAGAGTACATGGGCAGCATTGAGTCATTGTGTTTGAGGAAGGGGGCGACTTGTGACTCGAGAAGGGCTCCGGCAGGTCGCATGGCGGCTGTTGATTCCATTAGCCATTTGGAGGTAACAAAGGCGACAAGGAATATTTAAGCTCACGCGAATGGTACGCCACAGGTACTGGAACATATCGTATAAATGTTTCTGGCCTGTCGGTCCTGATCTTATCAACCACTGCGGCCAACCTTGCCTTATCCCCGGATAGGTTAACGCTTTGGAGACTGTTCTCGCATGCGACAACCACCCCGTCAGGAAGATAGGGCTTGACGGACGCTTCACCCATACCAACGGCTACCATGCCACCTGAGGAAGGAGCGTTGGTCGCGCATTGACCACGTAGGTACGCTAAAATGATAGCAGTGCGGAGTGAAATGGCGTTCGCCGCATACGCCGCGATCACCTCGCCACTAGAGTGACCTACAACAGCTGACGGAGAGATTCCCCAGTCCTCGAGAAGGTTGACCAAGGCAATTTGAATGGCAGCAGAGAGTGTCTGGGAAATTTCTGGAATGTCAATTCGACTGAGCCCTGGTGGCTTTTCTAGCTCGTCTGGTATGGTTTAGCTTCGTATATTTTAACTTCATATAAATTGGAGGAAGTAGGGGAACAAGGTCGAGTGCGCCACAACCATACCTTGTATACCCCATGCTGGAGGAGACTGTAGCTGTTGCAGGATCTGGTCCATGACTTGTATATCTCGCTGAAAACTGGGGAATGTTCGAATGAGCTCCACCCCCATTCCAGCCCACTGAGCTCCCTGTCCACTGAAGGCGAATACAAGTGAAGGAGATAGCGATGTGTTGGCAAGATGGCGTGATTCGGCTTCCTCACCAATGATCTCGCCCTCAGTGTTGACAATAGTAAACGACCGATGAGACAGGTGATCCCGACGAACCCCAAGTGTATATGCGAGATCGGCCAGAGCCTGCGGTCTAAGAGCCAGGTAAGATTTAATTAAATCCATTCGGGCGTCCAAGGCTGTCTTGCTATGAGCGGAGCAGACCAGGAGTCGTGGAGCCTGTTCTCGCCTTGGCTCCTCTTTGGATTCCACAGATACGATGCTTGATGGAGACTCTAGGATAGCCTTCAAAGGGAGGTTAGCAGGGCGCTGCTGCGTGTTTGTGCCGTCTGCTCTTGAGTCTGCTCGTGACTTACATGGGCGTTAGATCCGCCTATACCGAAGCAGTTGACGCTGACTCGTTCCTTTCGGTTCTCGGGCCAACGGGTGGGCTTGACTGGAACTTTGAGTCGCCCTTCTTGGAAGGGGACTGTAGGATACGTTAGTGCTCCAGATCTAATATAACAGAAACCAGCTCGCTCTCACTGGAAGGGTTTGGTTGTCGGAAATGCATATTTGGTGGAATCATTCGATGCTCCAAAGCCAGAACGGCCTTGATAATGCCAGTAAGGCCAGAGGCACCCTCTCCATGGCCAAAGTTTGTTTTCACCTAGACCACGTTAGTAGAATTTCCAATACTGGCATCAGAACATGGCTTTGTACTAACCGATCCGATATGAACCCCGTAAGGATGGAAAGTCCGAGCAATCGCCGTAGCCTCGACCATGTCTCCCCGTTTGGTACCGGTGCCATGGCACTCCACAAAAGCCGTTTCTGCAATGTTGTCAATCTGCGCTCGCTCGTAGGCCCTTCTAATAAGCCGCTCTTGACTGTCAATGTCTGGTGCGAAAATCTTTGATGTTCTGCCGTCATAGTTGGCCGCTGTGGCGCGGATAACGGCGCGGATAGGATCGCCGTCTGCTATTGCCTTGTCCAAGGTCTTAATGTAGACAGCATTTACAGCTTCGCCGCGCGCATAACCATTCGCGTTCGCGTCAAATGTCCTACAGACCCCATCAGGCGAGAGGACCATGTTCTCGGACATTGTCACGCTCATGGAAGGGGTGAGAAGCATATTGGTTCCCGCCACGATGGCGGATGAACAGCTGCCTGTTTGAAGCGCCTGGCAGGCTTCATGCAGAGCAGATAAGGAGGAAGAGCATGCTGTCGCTATGGTGATGCTACACTTCATTTAGCGGGGTACTGCGCCGAGAGGCTTTTCTTTAACGGGGGTCGCGGGACGCGGTTTACCTTGGTCCCTTAAGGTCGAACTCAAATGACACACGGTTTGACAGTGCAAACCCTCCGTTGGCGAAGGCATGGGTACGAGGGATCACTTGGGTCTCCTTTGCAGTCAACTCGTGCCAGTCCTCCCCGAATACACCGACATAGCATCCAATGTCCCTGCCACGCCACCCAGTCTGTCCTGCATTTTCCATACACTCCCAGATAACTTCCAGCAACAATCTTTGCTGAGGATCTATGTCGCTCGTATTGACTCCCGGAATCAATGGGAGGAATTTCGTGTCTGCATTTCCCAAGTAGTCATCCTCGAGGAAATATCCCCGCCTCGTTCTCACGGACTGAGGCTTATCCGGATCGTAGAATGCGTCAATATTATACCGAGTTTTGGGGACTTCGGACGAGCAATCCTTCTGGTCGATGATAACATCCCAAAAATCTTCCGCAGTGCGTACCCCGCCGGGCAGGCGCATCCCCATTCCGACAATCGCAATCGGTGGGGGACCGCCTGCCGTGACGAAGGTGGCTTCTGCAGTGGAAGATGTCATGGCATGGGCGTACTTATTCTGAAGGTATGTCAACGCAAAGTACTTTTGTTCCGTGTCCTGTTTACTCTTCGCTTTCGATTATTCGAGTGTCAAATTTGACACTTATCGTCAATATCTGCAACGATAACTCTGTACTCAGAAATCCCAGCAGTCCCTGAGAAATTCTCGTCCAAAGTGTAACCACAGATGTGACAAACAAGAGCAGAGAATTGATCTTTTGTCATTGACCCAGCCATGTACTTTTCATGATCTGGTCATCTTCGGTTGATCGCCACCGGATTCTGAGAGCTGATCAGCCTGCTGATCTCCTGACATATTCTCATATGTCTCCTTGCATAGAGCATGGGGAATGTCCTGGATTCTCCTTAAGCTAGGGGTCTCCCTTACTGCTACGTATCTACACTGCCTGCTATTATACATTCCTTCTTGCTAGGTGCAAACAGATGATATATAAACAGGAATAGGAGGTAGCTCTCGTAACTACCGACGGCATCACATAAATTTAAAATCTTGTAGTAGCAGTAATGCTATCTAAGATAAATTTATTTAGGCTAAAGCAAGTTCAGTACTAGCAGATAAAGAAACTCTATACTTATAGATCTTCTAAGATAATATCTACCTACATAGGAGCTATTAATTCTTACGTTGAATAAGTTAATGAGCTTGGAATATTACAGCAAGTACGTAGAAAATAGCCTTAGGAGGTATAAACTTAGATAATACCTGACATTTAGGGGTTGCGGGGGGCGCCGCATCTATGTTACTAGACATCTAGATTACCAGTAAAAACGGGTGGGATGCAGAAAGACAAGATTTTAAATGACAGAAATTGAAAATACCATGGCTAATGGCACACTTATCAACCCTGACTCTGACGACATAAGCTGAAGCATCAATCAAGAAAACTGCAACGGACCTGGTTTACATAAGTATCATCTAGCATCCTGGTTTGAGAAATATGTAGATCTTCACATTGTGGAATGCTCAGTTTGCTGGACGTCATGGGACATCCATACGCCCTCAAGAACATGGTCATTATAAAGAGGTCTTCTTCGCAGTGGTAAATTCCCACCTACAGAAGGTCACAACTTACAACCCCCAGAAGTCTCTTTTGGATCGGAAACGATTTCCTTTCGAAATGTTGCTGAAGACTCTTGTCTGCTACCTTGCTGTCGGCGCCTCCTGCGCGTTGGCAGCCACCAACACAGAGCAGGCCATCTCCGACATGGACAACCTCGCCAAGGCAATCCGAGACGCGAGGGACTCCGTGTATAACTACCAAGGAGGCCTTTCTGGTGCCATCGACACCGCAAGCGCCGTCAGCAACGCAAAGCTCGCTGCCAGAAACGCTCGAGAGAGCCTCGCTGGTAGCAACGGTCTTACTCCTGACGAAGCGACCAAGTACTACGAGGCTTACACCAAAATGTCACCCGTTCTACTTGATGCATTGACGGTTGCCAAGGACAAGGTACATTAGACTCCGTGCTTAGTACACAATCTTCTGACTCTAAGTGATTAAAGGCGCCTCTTTACAAGGAGGCTGGAGTGAGTCCGCAAGCTCGGGAGACCGTGCAGGATTTGCACAATGAGAAGAAAATGTTTCAGGAGCAGGCAAATAAGCAGATTCCTGAGGAGACAATGCGGAAGGCTGCTGCGTCCAATGAGCAGATCAGCAAGGCCTTTGACGAGGCGGAAGCTGCATTTCTGTGAGGGGTTCCCTTGCCTTCGTCTTGGCGGGTTTTTGGCAGGCTGGGAGAATGACGAGTACTGGCAGTAATCGGAGGATTGTAGTGTGGGACTCAGCTGGAGATATGGATGCTTATCGGTCCCTAGCTAACCTTGAGTAGCTAGCGTAATTTTAAATAGAATTGGCTTTTATCATGTGAGCTAAGCTCATGTGGCTGGACCTGTCCTTTAGAGGCACAAGCCCTAAGGAATGATACCTTCCACTCATTCCCCGCTAGTCCAATAGGTCAGACATATTTGAGTCCTGTCACTGGGGTAACCGGCCCACTTCTTGCTAAATTGACTACAATCCACAGAGTACTGCCATGGCTTCCATGTTTCTCACAGTATGCGGCTGCGATGGCGCCAATAGGGTTACCATAACAGACAGAGGCGGGCGCATACCTCTCGCCGCCGAAAACACTGTTTAACCCTGGACAGGTAGGGAACTTTGAATATAAGTTGCTCAAGGACCAGCATAAACATTACATCCTGAACGATTCTGCCCCTCTCACTTTAGTCTTTCTTTCTCGGTTCTCACTCTCTGCTTTAGATAATCACTCTTTTACTAGTCTCCAAACATGCAATTTTTGATTCTTTTGTTGCTTGGCCTTGCCTTCGGTGCACCACTCCCATTCATTACAGACAAGAGCATACAACGTCGCGACGTGGTGAGTAAAATTACCTTCTTCTCCAACAGACTGGTTCTGAACTTTCAAGAATACTCACAATCGTCCTAGGATGTAAGGATCAATCTATGAAAAAGCAAAGTCTCAACAGACTTGACTAACGAGATGCACCCGGTTAAAGCCGGTATAAACCTTGTCATTCAACAGTTGACTTCGACACCAGCTGACCGAATCTGTCTAGTTTGTGCGTTCAAACCGAAGATTCCTTATTGAGAGATTGCATTGCTGATCATTCGATAGGTTGTGGGTTATGTCCTCAATGGATAATCAAAAATGACCCTTGACTAACCTKAGCGAAACTCCAGGATGTATGAGCGCTATATCCCATTTCTTTGAGCAGCTGCTACTTGTGTCAGCTCTAACAGGAATAAATCAGGTGGTACGTACGATATGGCTCTGCTCATCATACTCATGCTCACAACAATGCACAGCTTGTACGTAACTCCTATATATTATGGGCTTGCTGAGGCACCTGCTCACATATTATAAAGGCTGTAAGTGCCAAGACTGAATAGATCAATGCTAATAGATTTCACTGACTTAATGACTTGCACAGGTTGTACGTTCACCATTATGACTAAGATCACAACTATCACAAAGCTATTTAGAGAGATAACTAACTGAACTTCAGGGTGTATGATCTCTAAAGACACTGAATACTCTGATTATCCCCTATTAACAGGCATCTAGTTTGTAAGTAGCCACCTGTTTCTATGAGCTCTGGTGCGATGCTAACACCACTTCTAGCATGTATGATCTGATTCTGCCACGCGTCGGCTTCTATGATGACTGACGTGTACACAAAGGATGTACGAAATCAGTATCCCAAGGCTTACTGCTGATGACCAAAGTCTCTGATTGTGTCGTTAGATTGTATGGCATCCAGTCATTGATTATTGTTAAACCTCACTGACACGAAAATATAGCTTGTATGGAATTGAACCTTTGGCTTTCCCAGGTTATTGATGCAACAGTACTGAACGAAAGATTTTTAGAAAGTAAGTCACTAACAAGGGAATGCCAATTGAAACATCAGCTGACCGACGGTGACTCTTAGGATGTATGACCTCCGCTACTAGATGCGAATCCATGCACTAATAGGACAAAATTCGACAGGTGGTATGTTCTCATACTTCGAATGTGGCTGACCTTCCAACACACGCTAATTACATGGAAAATCTAGAAAGTATGTCATATCATTTCGCCTAATGACATTGATCCAGGTTTGAGCTGACAAGAATATAGCTTGTATGGGAACTCTTTCAGAATACATTAACACTACCAATTAATTTGCCTGATGTGACAGAGTGTATGAACCTTGCCCTCGGAAATGTTGACTAAGATTTACGATGTGACTGAGACGAAATTAGTTTGTAAGGAGACCAATTCTCTAGTTGTTGGTGATAGTGCTGACTTGAGATTCTAGGATGTAAGATTCATCCATGAGACTGTTATCTCAAATCCCGGCAAACTGACAACGCCATGGTCGAATATCACAGTGTGTATGTTTATCACCCGACATTTGTGATTCACTGGGTTAATCATATTCGAACCTCAAATCTACAGTTTGTGAGTCATTCCTCCGGTATTCTCTCTTATGGGAATTGAGTATTCCACTGACATTAGGACTACTCAGGTCGTGAGTAAATTCTATCGGGCTGGAAAGCAAATCCGATTACGCACCAGTGACCAACTAACACGCCTTTCTAGAATGTATGCTATAMTTGTTGACTTCATCTTATGTAAAGGTCCATCATGCTGACACCGATAACAGTGCCAAGAGACCGCCGCCAAACTCAAGGAGAAGGAAGGTAAAAATAACTAAGGCACCACCCATCACTAATATGCATAATAGGTTCCTCTACCATCCAACCAGACTCAGGCTCATCATTAGCAGTACGGAAGACCGACTTTGTGGTGCTGCGGGCATCGCTCACTACATTCCTAAGGTATACCAGTCGAGCCTTAGTACAGGTTTTCGCCCATAGGGTTTTCCCTGTACTCTAGTGTGAATACAAAGGCCTGAATCAAAGTTTGGAGTCAACCAGCTCGTCTTGCAATTTTTACTCATTGTAATGTCTTGGATGGAATTTCTATTTGTGATAAACACTACCGTAGTACTCCGTCTTCACCGTATCATGTAGGACCTTATCCTCTGCGAGGTCACAACAGAAAGCCAGCCTTTTTTGTAATTAGAAGATGTCAGTAGTTGGAAGCCAATCATGAACTATGTATGAGAGAAGGTCTGGCTTAGCTCCCATATGCAGCTCATGTAGTTCTTGAATCGACGAAGGGCCGAACTCGTTGATTATTCCCGCCCAGTCTCCGTCCCCGCTCACTCAGCTTGATCGGAAATCTTGCCTCAACTCGACGCTCGTCCCCCACCGAGCGATGCATAGTGGAGGCGTAGGGCGGTTGTTGGTATTTATTTACGGGACAGGGCTGGTTGATAACAAAGGCTTATTACTTTAGATATCTGCACGAGGATGACAATGTCCTTAGGCCTTATCTAAGTCTCAAGGCGACCCCGCGTGCCAAGATCCAAACTTGGCTTTATTAGCCGACGAGCTCTCGTATAAACCGTCAGCAGCTCGCCGGGTATGGGCAGGATCGAGGCAACTTTTTCTTTCATTTTATCGCATCCCGACATCAGGATGTCATCGCTGTATAAATGCACATCTTGCAATGAGCTCATCCAGGCTATGAAAGCACGTCTCTCATGTGCTTCCTGTGTGCCCCGCATAACCCTATGCGCCAACTGCTACGTTGTACAGAACTATCCTCCACAGCATCAGGATGACCCGTCGCATGAAATCTCACTATACGCACACAGCGGCTTCATCCCTGCCCCTCCGCCACCTCCACCACGATCGCAGTCTGTCCGAAGCCCATATTGTCCTCCCCGGCGCCGTCCTGTATCTGTTTCAAACAGAGATAGCGATGTCCCGCCGAGGAAACCTCCACGTCCTACAAACCCAGAATCAAGAAATGAAGAGCGGGTGGAGGACACAGTGCCAGTATCGCCGATGCCGATGAAGTCCGCATTTCAGGGTCCGCCACCAGAAGCAAAAAGTGAAGCAGAAGCGGAAAAATCCGTCCCAACTATTCCGTATGCATCGAGACCAGTATTGAAGAGTCCGTCCCTGGAAAGCACTGAGCCATCTCCTCATCCACCAGATCCATATTCTTCTACAAGCTGGATCCCGCTCTTCACCGAGGACATGAAACCCTCGGCTTCCTTCATGAGATTAATCGAGGAGCTCTTCAGCCACCTAGACCCGCAGCGCACCGGGTATCTCAGTCCAGAAGCCGTCTCAGAGTATGTAGACGTGTGTGGCGCACCACCTAGCCACAACGTTTGTACGTATATCCATAGTCCTCTTCCTACCATTACACGGCCAACCAGATTAACAATCTAACACCCGAAACAGGGAAAACCAGCCGCGCCAAAAACCCACAATACGGCTACGACATGGCCGACCGCGAACTAGCCGACCACTTCACAGCGTACGCCGTCGACTTCGCCCTCCGTCCACGCACTCCACCCAAAACACCCGTCAATTCCCCTCTAGATCCCCTGTCCTATCTCCCCGCCGCTCAGCGCTCTGTCATATCGTTATTCATGCCTGCCCAATCCACATCCGCGAATTCCCTCTCCGGAGGACAGAAACCCATGCTGTCATTCCGGGGCTGGACGGACCTTACAATCTGCGGTGTGCTTCTGAACCCGTCTGCGTCATGGGGGCAGCTGAATCGCGCTATGCAGGCGTTCCAGTTGCCGATTTGGAGAGAGTGGGGTGATATTCCTCGGGATATGTTACCGCTTGCACCGTATCAGCCGGAGGTTGAGAGGGTGAGGGTATTGCTTGAGGGGGCGAGACTTAGTGCGGAGCAGGAGGTTGATGCAGTTCATGCGAGGTTGAAGCTGGAGCAGAAGGGACGGCAGAATGCGTTGAGTTTGTTGGATGATCGGGTTTGGGTTCGTCGGTAGTCAGCTAACGCCATAGTACGATAGGGAAAGGCTCGTGATTCTCAAGGTTAACATATTATTTGAATTGAAATTGGGCCGTGAGTTGCCTTGCGGCTTTCTTGTATGTATAACCTTCCATGGTGATAATATGTGTGCTCCTGGTTGACGGTTGCATTGCATCTCAGCACATGAATATGAAGCCATTCAACAAAGTACAACAGGGATATGACGGGCCAGCCCACTGTGATACTGCTTTTGCGTGCGTGAGATTTCAGGCTTCGCGTCTTGCCCTCGGATGAGGACTCATATGTCCGCCAAATGCACTGTAAGGGGTGGTCGTGCATGGGAGATCTAGTTTCAGCCATCCACCAATTGACAGATATATATTGAGACAAGTCCACTAGCAGAAATGATCCCCAATTCCTGGGAGAGGAAGAACCCTCAATCAGTCTGGAGCCTCTGTGTGACTGGGTATTTACATAATCGATCGAACGAAGGTCAGAGTTGGTTATGGACTGGCGGTGCGCTTACACGGCGGTACGCTTTTAGTAGTCATCTGGGCCATGAGATTTCATCTCCATCTCTCGGGAGCAATGATTGCCTCAGATGAGATCTACAAGAATTCGAAAACATTTCCGCTGCCATAACACAAACAATTAAGGTACTAATATCTGTAACATCTCAGAAAACTGTTTATTTCAATGACAGGTCATTCTTGTGCCTTAGTAATCGTCAAGAGCAATAGGCAAGGTCGATGATGAACTCCAAATGTAAGCTCTAAGTTATCACTCAAATTGCTGACAAGCTTCTCATAACTTAAATCAAGCCATTTCATCCTCTGATATGCTCTTTCATAGTAGTGGCACAAAGTCCTAATCCGCCTGGCTCGTTAACCATGGCAATATCGATAGGCGTCTCGCCCTTTGCATTCCGCACCATAGGATCCAGGCCCTTTGAAAGAAGAAGCAAAACCCTATCATAAGTCCTCAGTGTCCATTTCCTCACCACTAGATGCAGTAGCGTATCTCCCGTGTGGTCTTTTGCCGTCAAGTCTACACCGGCCTCTTCGAAGATCCTGATGACTTCTTCATCGATCTTGGCGTATGGCTCATCCATATCCTGCCATTCAGTCCAGCTAAACCCCTGACGATCCTGATAAAGAAATGTGTCGAATGCTGTGAAATATAACTCGAGAGCAGATTGCCCATCCGCATTCCGAGCATTTGAATCCACGCCGCGGTCCAGAAGTAGACGGCATAGGCGTCGCTGTTCATCGCCGCGCACGCCAAAGTCATCTAGCCAGCTCAACGCCAGATAATGCAGAGCAGTATTACCGCGTGGATCACGGACTAGGGGATCTGCACCTGCCGCCAGCAGATCATCGATTGCACTCTCCAGTGTGCCCAGATGCTTAGTATTCGACCAGTAGGCTCGAATGCGGGATAAAGCAGCGATTAAAGGATACACACCTGCCTTGTCAGGCATGTTGACGAGCGACCCATAGTTATTAGCCACGTATCGGAGGGAGGCACTAATGACAGGCGGTTGACTAGAGCGCAGTTGATGTCTTGCCTCAAGGAGGTGATGCAGAGCATTCTTTCCGTAGTTATCAACTGCCAGCACATTTGCGCCTCGATTAACCAAGTACTCAAGCAGTGTTGGTGTGTCTGGTGAGGTCGTTGTGGTTACTCCAGCGATTTCATTAGCTTTATAGTAGTTATCGGGCTGTGGGAATGGATTATGTTCAATTCCACGCTGGGTTACCCCAATGAACACTTCTAGATGCACGCCGTCAACTGCAGCATCAGCGCCTAAGGCACTCCGACAGGCAGAAAGGAGAAGCGTTCGGCCCTGCGGATCTCTATGCTCGAGATCAAGGTTGCTGCCTAAGAAGTCGAGTACTGGCTTGATGAACTCTCCTTCTTGAAGGAGAAAGTGTATGATGCTGCACACACCATACTTGCGGGGGAACAAGGGTCGAACTGAGTCTGTTGAATAGGATTTGCAGAGTAGGTATTGCTCACGCTCCTCGCGACGCTCACGTTGGGTAAGTCCCAGGTCAGCATCCTCATCAATGACCTTGTCATCCTGTGGCTCACCAGGGAAGCGCGACCAATAGTTGTAGATCCTGATTGTTTGTCGAAAGATCGCATAAGGATCAGCACCATGTTGCAGGAGTGCTGTTGCCATTTGTGTCATGTTCCTTTTTTGCACTTGCCAGTTTGCAGGGTAACGTGAACATGTTAATGCAAGGTGAAGAGGATACCACTCGTCTGGATCCTTGTAGATTTCGGGGGGCGAAGAGCTCTTATCACTGCTGGCCCAGTCCTTCTCTACTCCTGCCACATTGGTGAGATCTGCGTAATCTGGCCTAGCATTTGGATCAATGACGCCAGTAGCCAGCAGGATTTCAACTGTCTCTACCGCGCCTGCGCATTGAGCCCCGTGACGCGCTGCTTCACAAAGATCAAAGGCATCTGGCTTATGCCCCTGGGACAGAAGCTCGCGCACACGGTCGGGATCCTTAATTGCCCGAGCAATTTCCCAGTCCTTCTCGTTGAGGTTCATGGCGACTCTCATATATTTAAAAGGATTCCTGAACATACGGAGATAGGTCGGGAGTTCTTTACGAGCGGAGAACTGGATCTTTGGAGGAGTCGGGAAGAGGTTTCAAACCTGAGGTACTCCGCTCTAAATAGGTTAATGAGGACACGGAGGACACCTATCCGTTATATTATTATTGGATTTCTAGCCCGGAGCTTAAACTGGAAGCGGGCCAGGTTACATCCAACTCCGCCACCATTGATTCCGATGATTCCTACCGAAAAAGTAGGACGAGGGACCAAATCTCTACCTCTGGCGAGAAAAAGAAAAAGGGGGGAAAAAGGTAAAAAAGGAAAAAAAAAGGTTTGTATTAATATCCCCTTCGCTAAGACTCCGCCGTAAGTAGGTACCTATTGGACATATTACTGCACTACTATTTCAACTCTGCTGGGAACGGTCGTCTAGGCACCTTAGTCGAGTGGGAAAATGGTAAACAGTATCGCTTAGTATTTATATAGTATGGAGCAGTCGCTTTAAGGCTGACAATTAATGCATCAAACTCGGCCTTGCACCCCGAAGTGGGCATACATATGAACTCAACCATATTGAAAGGCACTACAATCCGTCTATCTGAGGAACCTCGCATTTCGTACCTCGTAAAGCGGACTCCGCTGCCGCCAGCGCCCTGAAATGGTCCGCATCGTCAGTGCGATATTTTCGGCATGCGTCCAGAAAAGTTTTGCGGAAACCGCTGATCTTTTGTTTCTTTTCATATTCTGCCAAAGTGAGCTCAGAACTGAGAGCTTGGAAGCTTGGAGGGCTCGAGAGGCCAGTCTTCACCTCCTTTGTCATTGGTGTCACCCCGAGGTATTTCTGACTCGCCAACATTCCATTTTTAATACGATACTCTTCCATGTCCTTGTATCTCATGATAAGATTGACGCGGGCAGCTTCTTTGGCCAGCGCAACCAGCTGCTCGACTTTGGCCTTATGCGCCAATTGTGCTGCCCATTTAGCCACCGCTTTCTTATAATCTGTGTCGGTCGTGAAATCCTTCCTCTTTGGCTGCAGTGCATAGGTCTTAAGCTTCTCCTCAACTGCGGCAATGGGCTTGCCTAGCTTGCTGAGTGATGTATAGTAGTCGGACTCTCCGTTGACCTTTACAGGGTCGGCATAGTCTCTGAACGGCGAGTTGGCAATAACATTGTAGACCTGCTCTATGGTTGCATCCCAAGGTTTAACTTCAACGCCGTTTTTCAGTATCTTCACCTCGCCCTTGGGCAGCTCTTCGTCTGGTTTTTCGGGATTTGGAGCCCAGATGTAGTGCAGGAACTGGTTCAAGTCACACGGCATGCCTCTTTCAGTCTTCATTGCAAAGGCGCAGTCAGGGGCGATGGTGGTTTTCTCCTGATCGGTCGCCATTGCCGTCTCGCACAGGTAGGCATAAAAGTAGAGTACCCTGCCGGCGTCATCAACAAATGTTAGCGCGGGTCTCCCATATCATTGGGGAGATGCACTTACTTTTCGGTTGCTCCTCGTGCACCAAGACCAGACACACGGTCTAGCATGAAAATGAGAAGGAGCGCTGAGTGAAGGTTGAAGTACCTCATGGCTGACGATAGTTTTCATTCAGTGAAGGGTGAGACGGCAAACACGACTGATCAGACCAAGAAAGACTTCAGAACCAGGTTAAAATTTGCGCTATATATCACCCTCATATTTACAGGTAGGGGGAAACAGCATCATGAGGGCAAAAAGTGACTCAGCGATACAAGGGTACGGAATAGCGCCACCCATCGTCTCCATCTTTCCCATGCGTTACTCCTTGTGACCCATGAGAGTGCCAATTTTACCGTTCACATGCGGTGTCTATGATTGACAAAGGCAGGTGAGGGATATTTGGCCTGATTTTATCCGAGACATTCAGGAGAGAACTAATCTTCAAACAGAAAACGAAGGCCTTGATTAATATAGTCTGTTCGAGTTGGACGCTAGTATACTGCACTAGAAGATGGTCGATTGCTACCAATGTCTTTAGCTCCAAGTATTTTGCTACAGAATGGGCTTACAGACACCCATGGAGAGGCAATCTACACTCCATGTGGAGCCCAGAACCCCTGTCAAACCTTCCAACTGTGACTTTGTTACTACATGGGCGTAGCTGTCCTATTCTCCGCCTCATTGAGACAAACTGAACCTAATAGAGGTAGTAGGATAATGAGTTCCAGGCTTACATCAGACCACAGCCACGGTTATATTTGGCTTAGATCCACATAATGTAGCAACGGATCACAAATGGTTTGCATGAGGTAGATACACTAATTCCAATTTGCAGTTTCCAGCTGAATGAATTAAGAAAAGGTCTGATTGAGCCGCCTTTTTTGAGTTAGCCACTGCGCTAATTCTTGCATTCGGGCGTGAGCACAGGCGGACTTCCGATAGTGTTTCGGTGGAATCACATCACCTTAATACAATCATATGAGTTTGGCGCAGGCAGGTTGAGCTATTAGCCCACCGTATATTGCTTATGTACTTACTTACACTTGGATAGACTTTCTAATTACGATCAATTGCAAAGGGTTTTGGCTGATCTAAAGGCACAAATCGTCTAACCGAGTTGTCTTGTAACTTTATAGCTTCAGCACGGTACACTGGATCAATCTACTTATCTAGGGGAGACTCAAGTTCCTTGTGAAATCATCAAACTTTAAAACTACTTTAAGCGAAATTAGCTTTCCCCTGCGTTACATCGCCTACAGACTACGAAGATAGTCCGAAACGTGCATGAGTCACGGCACGATTGGTGGAAGGATAGAGCCGGCCGAATGACCCTGGCTATTCTACAAGGAGTCCACATAATTTTCGGCGCTAAAGATGAGGCTATTAAAGATCTAGTCCTCGTATCCATTATCCATGTCCTTGATGCCTCGGTTGGGATCTGAGACTAGCGCATTTCCTTAGCCGGCGTGCCAAGATCAAGGGCCTAAATTTTCCTTGCCAAGAGCGGCGCATTGGCTTAATCGGGAAGAATGAAAGCTTGAAGAGAACTACCAATAAGCTACTGGGAGTCTAAGATATGAACTAGTTCTATGAGTTGCAGGGATCAGATATTACCTGGACGAAGCACCACCTTGCCATGTGTCTGAGACTCTGAGCCTCTAGGCACCCATCATGTGGCAGTATTCTTCCCCTTGTCCAGTTTAGATATGGTATGTGTCTCATTTTACGTAGCTAGTACGGCTGGAGCTCGTGGTGTAATTTGCATACATATCGTCTAGTGCCTCTGCGATATGATAATACTCGAGCCGTGAAACATATAATAGCCCGCCTGTCGCTTGATCATAGCCCGTTTGGTTGACACAATCATGGTTATTATCTGGGCGCACGCTCCTTATTCTTTCTGATTATTAGTCCACATGGCCAAGACAGTCTTTTCCTTCTGTTTCTCTCTTCTACTTTTTTTTTCAGCTAGCATAGTGGTGCCTGTGGCAACTTCTCATTCAGGTCCGAACCGTCGCCATGGCTCAGCTATCCATTCTCATCTCCCAAATGTCTCTCATTCTCATATGGCCGTCACTGCGGCGTACGGAAACACATCCATAGATCGTCCTCTTTTCAATGAACTCCGTGTTGTGCCTTATGAAAACTATCCCAAGTCCGTGTTCGCTCATTTCATGGTCAGTCATTGTTTGGTCCTAAAGACCTTCCCTGGTAGCCCTAACCCAGAGACTGACACCTGACCCTACCACAGGTGAGCAATGTACAATCATGGACTCAAACGAATTGGGAAAACGAAATCAAGCTGGCCAAAGATGCGCATATTGATGCCTTTGCTTTGAATATCGCAAGCAATCAAGCTCCCAATAGTCAAGTGTGGAATGCCTTTGCAGCTGCCGAGGCTGTAGGCTTCAAGCTTTTTTTCTCGTTTGACTACGCGGGTAATGGGCCCTGGGCCAAAGAGGATGTCATATCTTATCTGCAGCGCGGCATTCAGTCCTCGGCATATTTTATTTACCGAGAGATGCCTTTCGTTTCCACCTTTGAGGGGCCGGCCAGCGCACCCGACTGGGTCGAAATCAAAAAGGAGATTCCTTGCTGGTTTGTTCCTGACTGGTCCTCGCTGGGAGCCTCTCAGGCCTTGAGAAACTCACCGGGAGTGGCTAATGGATTATTTAACTGGGGGGCCTGGCCCTGGGGTAACACAGACATGGACACCTATGTTGATGCTTCCTATCTGGAGTTCCTTGGGGACAATACATACATGATGCCGATCTCGCCGTGGTTCTTCACTAATCTTCCCGGTTACAACAAGAATTGGTTGTGGAGAGGTGCGTTACTTTTCGTGGAGTTGAAAATATGTGCCATAATGCTGACCATTATGCAGGGGACGACTTGTGGTTTGATCGATGGGAACAGGCCATGTTTGTCAAGCCAGACCTCATTGAGATCATCACCTGGAACGACTATGGCGAGTCACACTATATCGGACCACTTCACGATGAAGCATATGATGCCTTTGATGTTGGAAATGCGCCGTTCAACTTCGCCAAGAATATGCCCCATGACGGCTGGCGTCTTTTCCTCCCGTTTCTGATTGATATGTATAAGCATGGCCAGGGCTTGGTGACCCAGGAAGGACTCCAGGTCTGGTATCGTCTGACTCCTGGAAATGCTTGTGCAAGCGGGAACACATCCGGAAATACTGCACAGCAATTGCAGATTGAATTCCCTCCCGCACAAGTCATGCAAGACAAAGTCTTCTTCTCCGCGCTTCTGACAAGTCCTGCCGATGTTACTGTTACTATTGGGGGAGTTGCAGTGCCGGCATCATGGAGCAAGAGCCCGAGTAAGAATGTGGGGATATACCATGGCAGTGTGGCGTACAATGGGCTAAGAGGGAAGGTTGTCGTCACGATTTCGAGGAATGGGCAGACCATTGCGCAGGTGGACGGTGAGCCGATCTCCTCCGAATGTGCGCAGAGTGTCATGAACTGGAATGCCTGGGTTGGCAGCGCCTCGGCTCCCTCCCTGTTGTTCCCCGCTGTGGGCCCGAATATCTACAATCAGAACTGTACCCAAGGCACCGGAGTGGGTGGTTTCAAGGGCCTTTGCGAGTTCACCTGCAGCTTGGGCTACTGTCCCATTGGCGCATGTCAATGCTTGAAAATGGGCCCGCCGCCCAAATTGCCCCCCGCAACTGGTCAACCGGGCTATCCCCTCGCCGGCGAAAGTGAGAGCTTCCGGGGTCTTTGCAGCTTTGCCTGTAACTACGGATACTGCCCACCGTCGGCATGTGGACCGACAATCGAGAAGACCGTCATCCCTACTGTCTCGCCTTTCCTTCCACCCGCCTGCACGGGAGGGACAGGAGAGGGAAACTGGATGGGTCTCTGCAGCTACGCCTGCAATTATGGCTACTGCCCTGAAATCGTATGCACATGCACATCGACTGGCGTCCTTAACTTACCACCACCCACCACGAACAACTACGATGCGTACCCGGTGGAGACGAACCTCGATGGAGGTCTTTGCAAGTTTGCCTGTCAACGGGGATACTGTCCTAGCAGCGCGTGCGTGAACTTCAACACAACCGGTTCTGGCCTTCCGCCCACCACTCCTTTGGAAGAGTGTGACGCCACATTCTCGAGCCTGGAGGATCTCGCAAACAGCGCTTCCACTATTCCCTTCCACTGCCAGGGTCAGTACACGCTCGCTGTGCTCTCGCAAATGTGGGACACCGTGCTAAAAAACTACACTGACCTGGTGAACGGCGGGTATGATGGCTACTTCTTGACGTACTCGGACGCCGTCGCCAAGTATGGCTCTGAATCGGTCCATAATTACATGTACGACAATGGCGACAAGTACTTCACTTGCATTGTCACCGAAGCTGCACACTGCTGCAAGGCCTGTGGCCAAGGACGGGACTGCAATTATTGCTTTGACGGGGATTGCTATAAGAATTGTCCGGCCAGGATATGCAGCAGAAACACGGATTTGTCGATTCCAATCATCAAAATGGTTAACGCATCAGAGCCATGTCCTCCTAACTACTCCAAACGTGGGCCGGGTCCTGATAATCCTTACGTCCAGAGTGTGTACTGGACACTGGAATCGTCCCAAAGCGACAACTTCTACGCCGACCTGCTAAATAATACTGGAATTCCTAAGGACAAGATCACCTTTGGGAATTATGAAAGGGGCAACACCTGCCCTCCTAGTGCAAAGCCAGATGATGATTGCTGGGGGTTTGGAATGGACTTCGGCATACCAATCCCCCATGACTACACCGCTAGCGATGTCACCAACCCCAAGGATCTCATCCAGAAAGCCGTCGAACGTTCGTCCAACCTCGGATCACAGCTTCAGGATACTCTTTTTGCCCTCTCAGTGGACGCTTGGATCGGCGATACGTCTGAGCTGATTGACGCGGTCTCAATGCCCGTGTTAATGATGGCCGAGGCCGTGGAACAAATGGCCACGGTAGTTGATCTTGCCAAAAAGATAGATGCAGAAAAGCGAAAAATGTTTATCTTGACTTTTCTCGGGGTCTTTTTCCTTCTGCTGCCGATCGCAGGGGAGGTCCTGGAGGTGGGAGAATTGGGTGTGATCATGGACCTTGTGAGCTTGGGCGGCAACACTGGGCTAGATGTCTACACCATCGTGGATGATCCGCATAATGCACCCCTGGCTATTATGAATCTGATATTTGTGCCGGCCGCACTGTCAGATGTGGTGACGATCTCCAAGGCCGCAAACCTGCGCCGAGGCATGGATGATCTCGATATTGCCAAATTAGGTGATAGGGTGGCGGGCCGTATGGGTTTGATTAAGAAGGTTACTGGTTCATGTAGTGTTTGAGAAGATTCAAATACTTGCTTCTGCCCGTGGCTGTCTCATTTCGTTATAGGTGTTTCTACTCTCGCTGTGATGTCCATTGCTAAGCCATGAGACGATGGAGGTCCCAGCCAGCAAAATATCCATGACGAAATAGCATCCCCCCAGTGTAGGTATGATTTTGATGAGTATTTCTGACCCCATAGTAATCCTCCTACCGTTACTACATTGGCACGTAGAGACAAGAACAACCTCAAATGGGCAAAGTTGTACACTACCACTATACCTTTATCACAATAACATCACCATCGTTGCCTTCGTGCGCTACAAAACGCCCTTTGTCCAGACAACCTTGGTCTGCTTTTGAAAACCATGGAGCTGCGTGGCTCGTGGCTGTGCATTAGAAGTATTCCTTATCAACAACCTGAAGCAGACGCACAACAAAATCAACAGGTCAGGCACACACGGCCCACTGGATCCTCGGAATTAACAACTTTCACTTTCAGGTTACCTTTTCTGGATACTTTAGGGGCAGTTCATCCGCTTGGAGCTAACCAAAGACATCAAGAGCCGTGACACCGTTCGAAACATAGTTATAGCATGAACCCGAACAGCCATAGAAGCCGGCCGTAGCAAGGTGCAGGCGCTCTTGCCCATTATCATTAAATAACAAGAGGTGGCGAGATTGACCCGTGTACTGGTTCACGTTGACCATAGTCCACGTGCTTGCGTTATCTCTAGATACGAAAAGATCCGTATCTGAGTTGGTCGACAGGATCACCGCGCCGTCTGTGGTCGAGCCTGGGTATTGATACCAAACGCTGTAGGGTGAGCCACCGGGCGTGTGGCCGGAAGTCGTGGTCAGAGTATGATCAGCGGTATTGAGAAATTCGGTCGGATTGGAGGCAAGTCGATAGTGTGCAGGACAGCCGCTGCCTGAGGGAGGATTGCAGTACTCGTAGGATAACATGTACTGTCCGATGGTTGGGAGGTAAGAGATTACGGCCATGCCAGGACGTGCGTTGACATTGGAGTAGGCGACCACGTCCGTCGAGGCAGACCAGGTAAGTAAGTCCGTGGTGCTTGTAAGTGAGAGTTTTTGTGAGTGCGCCGGGTCGCGCTGGTCGCTGAAGTACACAATCAACTTGCCATTGTACTCCAGGAAGAAAGGTTCCCAAATAGCCTTATCTCCTGTCGTCACAGTTTCGGGTCCGGCACCATACGCGACGTGACTAGCGAACTTCCACGACTTGCCCATGTCGCTAGAAGTATAAAGATCTATGTAGACCCCGCCGGTAAGGCTCAATGGCGTTGAAACGCCGGCGATTAGCAAGGTTCCAGCAGGGTACTTTCCGATATTGTTTTTCAAGATGTACATGTCTGGTTCTGAGCTAAGTCAGTAAGAGAATGATTTAGGACACTTTAACGTAACTTACGGAAGCGCATGCCCCATCCATTTTGCGTGTCAGCGACGTGGGAGAAATTGGACCAGCTCGCGCCACCATCGACCGATCGAAGGATCTTGAAGGTGTCAAGATTTGCAGAGTTCTCGCCGTATGGATAATCCTCCCATGTCAAGAGCAAACTGCCGTCTTGCACCTGAATGGCGCGGGCATAGCACACCCGCCACAGAGGAGCTTGTTTAAGGGGATAGTACACCGGATTGTGGGTGAAGGTGGAATAGGGAGCAGGAGATGAACGCTTCTCAATCGCAGACGTTGCTTGACACAACGCACTTACAGTGAGCACCGACAAGAGCGTGAGGTATGCAAACATTATTCCGAATCAGAATGAATATGATGAAATGGAAGTCTGACTGTAGTTATCGTTCAATTGCTGGACGATCTGACAGCCTTTTATAGGTACGCCTTACACATGCCCCGCACGATGGACAACTTTCTTCAAAGAAGATGCCCCATATTTTTCCCCGTGGAGTAGATGCAAAGCTTAGAAGCACCAAAAGAACACTAGCACGTGGTCACAACAGAGATCTGAATTGCAAGCGGAGAATCTCTTTCCATGCAGCATCATTTGGCGCGCTTGCGGAACGTCGGGCTCTTTCCGTTCGGTGTCGTTTGGCGCTTGCGGAATGTCGGGCAATGCTCAGAATATGGTCGAACAACAAGAACAACACTGCCGCTGTCAGTGAAGAAATATTGAACACATTCTTCTCTCATTTTATTTCGTCCCTGGCTATTCTCAGGCTCAACACATCATGATGCTTAAGGAACCGGCGGCCAAGGTCGCCATAGAGAGCCCCCCTGACCATTCTGTGACCGAGGCGTTCGATTTTGACGATGCCGTGCGGATGGTTAAGAGTGGGCTGACTATCGAACAAGCGACGCATGCTCTGCTGTCCGTTATGACTCGAGCAGAACGGCTGTCGCTGCTCGACGGAGATGAGCCCTTTTGGAAAGGCCTTCGTGGAATCTTGTTCGACCGTTACAACCGTGAAGCTTTCGTTATGGGGGCAGTTCCACGCTTGAAAATCTCGGGAATACGCTTCACCGATGGTCCACGTGGCATCGTGATGCACTCCTCTACCTGTTTTCCGGTGTCAATGGCTAGGGGTGCAAGCTGGAACGTAACGCTCGAACAACGCGTTGGCAACGCTATCGGCCTAGAAGGACGTGCGCAAGGGGCAAATCTCTTTGCGGGGATCTGTGTCAATCTTCCTCGCCATCCCGCCTGGGGACGCATACAGGAGACCTATGGCGAAGATCCCATACTCCTGGGCGAATTCGGTCTCGCACTGAATCGCGGTGTCCGACAACATCTCATGACTTGCGTCAAGCATTTCGCTTTGAACTCCATGGAGAATGCTCGCTTCAACGTAGATGTGCAGGTCGACGATGCAGCCTTGCACGAAGTCTACCTCCCCCACTTTCGTCAACTGGTCGAAGGTGGAGTCTCAGCAGTCATGTCATCTTACAATTCCGTTCGCGGTGAATTTGCCGGACAAAATCACGAGCTCCTGAACGACATTCTTCGGCAAGACTGGGGATTTGACGGATTTGTGCTGTCCGATTTTATCTTCGGTTTTCGAGACGCAGTCAAGTCCATCAAGAATGGACTCGACCTTGAAGCCCCCTTCCAACAACAACGCGTCTTACACGTGCCTGAGGCACTGGAGCGCGGGGATCTGGCTTGGCCTGATATCGACCGCTCATGCGCGCGCATCCTTCGTGTGCAACTAGAGCATGCGGTGCGCACCGGACGAACGACTCCCGACTCTTCTGTCGTCTTCTGCGATCAACACAGGAGATTGGCCCGCGAAGTCGCAGCCCAAGGAATGGTTCTACTCAAGAATGATGGCGTCTCGGGTTGTCCTCTGCTTCCGTTGGATCCTGCCAAACTTCGCACGTTGGCAATCGTCGGCCGGCTCGCCAATAGGGAAAACACCGGGGATAGGGGATCTTCAGCGGTATTCGCCCCGAAGGTGGTCACTTTCTATGAGGGCCTTAGAGCAGCTCTTCCCAATGCAAAGATCATGCTGCAGGATACAGACAATGTTGAAGAGGCCCAGAAAGTTGCGAAAATGGCAGATGTCGTCATTTGCGTGGTAGGCTATGATGCGATGGACGAAGGCGAGTACGTTGTGCCTTCCTTTGCTGACCAAAAGGAGTTGCTCGACCTCCTTCCTCCAACCCGGGACCTTGACGAAGAAGAAGTCCGCGCGGCCATCGAGGGCCAAAAGAGCACCGGCTTCGGTTCCGGTTCTACGGACAGTGACGGGCTAGTTCCGGGGGCAGGCGGTGATCGCAGGTCCCTTAGACTACGAGATCGCGACGTAGACATCATCAGAACCGTGACTGCTGTGTCGTCCCGTGTCATCGTCAGCGTTGTGGCAGCGGGTGCAGTCATCATGGATGATTGGCTTGACAGAGTCCCGGCACTGCTCATGACCTGGTATAGCGGCGGAGAAGGAGGTCACGCACTAGCAGATGTCCTTCTTGGCAAGGTCGACGCTAGCGGGCGAATGCCGTTTTCAACGCCCAAAAGCGAGGAACACCTCCCATACTTTGACATTGATGCCTCGAAGATAACATATGATCGATGGTTTGGACAGCGGCTCCTTGACAAGCTCGGCGTCGTCGCACAATTTCCTCTTGGCTACGGTCTTTCTTACACGACATTTGCCCTAGAGGGAGTGAACGTTGATGTAGGCCCTCTCGAATGGGGTCTGGACTGTTTCACTGTGAGCACTACGGTCGTGAACACTGGATCGCGCCCTGGCAGGCATGTCGTCCAAGTCTATGGCACTCCTCGGGTACCTGATTTTCCTACAAGGGTCCTGTTAGGTTTTCAGAGCCTGACATTGGATCCGAATCAGTCGACACTAGCCAACGTGAAATGCTCGACAAGGCCATTGAAACGCAGAAGCGGGAATAGATTCATACTTGTAGAACGGACGGTTGTCATTGAAATCGCAGCATATGCTGGAGACGAAGCTTGTTTGCGAGCTTGTATTTCGCTAGAGTAACTAGAGTGGGGATTTGCCACGGACGTAGACATCCGTGATTTCGCTATTACATAAATTCAAGCAAGGCGGATTTCAAAAAGCCAACGGTTTCATCCTCAGGCGTCTCACTCCAGTACTCAAGCATAGCGATTGTATCTGACACTACAGCTTGCCACCCCGTAGGCAGGATATCAGAGGAATGGCTCCGGGCGACTGCCAAGAGGATGCATGCACTGCGTGCTGACGAGCGTTGCATTAGCCAAGTGCCATGGTGCCGATAATAGAACCCAGCGCGGTTGATTGAGAGCCGATCGTAGTGGACGCGCACGCCCCTGGCGGCCAGTTCAGATGCACCGGCGGTTCTGTGCGCTCCGAATAGCAACTGGGTCTCCAGAAATGGCCATGTCAGCACTTCGTAGTTGTAAGTCAGTCGGCCCTGTAGGACAAAGTGTAGAACGTCTACTGTGCTACTCTGTAGTCCGGCATCGAGGCTGATTGCGTCCGGCAACGAAGCACGCCAGGAAGCCAAAGATCTCTCGAGATCAACTACGCGCTCCGCCAGAGCTTCCAAATCACTTGGTTTTTCCCTTACGAACTCTGACAGCGATTCCCGTGCCGTCATTTCGGAGCGCCAGAGTGAAATTTCCGCGAGATAGAAGTACCACGCTCGGAGCTGCTCTTGGTCAAACACTTCTGGTGGTAGGGTCGGAAACATGATGGGATGGTCATATCCCGCCGAACTAAAATTAGGCATGTCTAATTCAAAGCGGAGCTCTCTCTCAGACTTCCAACACGACCAATAGATGCTCTCTTTAGCGTGCTTCTCATCCTGCGCGGGATGTCGGGGCCTACGGCGGTGCGCCGAAGCTGTCGACCTCTGGCAAGTGGCCAGACCCTGGAGGAAATAGCGCCAAGCATCGAACGGCCGCATCGAGACCATCATGAACATGCCACTGTAGAAGTGACATCTGGCCTGCGTCAGGTAGTCGCTGCGCCACAGCGTGTCCTTGCGCTTCTCTGCGGCATCGAACAAGGCCTGTGCATTTGCCCACCGTAGCTCATCTCGACCACCGGTGGGACCGGTCATGGAGAGCTCACCAAATTGAGCCGAGCAGGCCCCATTGGCGAGCACGAGCAAGAGAAGGCAGGAAGCCGCGTCCCAGCCAATGCCATTTAGCAAAAAGTTTGTCAGTTGAGCCCGGATCTGCTGTTCAGCTAGCACCGGATTCAAGACGTGGACGTTGCGGAAAAAAGCATCTAAATAACCAGTAAAAAGGCTAAGATCGAGGCCTTGATCCAAACCAGCGGTCTGTGCTCTGCTGAGCGACGTTGGATGGGCGCCCGGTTCCTCCTCACCGGCTGTGGGACATTCTGGGAGTTCATGAGGCTGCCAAATGTCCCAGGAAAGCACCTGACTGATATTGCCGCGCTGAAGATGGCGGTCCAAGCGCAAGGCGAGCGGGTCCTGCATGGTCGCATCATGTAAGGGACCTTGGGCAACTAGCGTGGAGTTTGGAGAGTGGGACCGCGGTCTTTGCAAACGGCCAGACAGCGATTCCACCTTACTTTGGACCTCCTCTAACTTGGCCAGAATAGCCAGGCTGGCCGGGTCGAAGCCTGCCGTGGCTGAAGTAGGCTCAGACGAGCATGTTGCTCCAATTCTCCGGCAGTAGGAGCAAGGTTTTTCATTGTCGCATTTCGCTCGCCGGGCTCGGCATATCTGCTTTTATGCGATGAGGACCAGGGCGTGCAAATTAGGACTTTTCAATAGGCATCACTGACCTGACAGGCAGAGGCTGTCCTCGTGCGAACATACGCCGTCCCCGCTCTGCTCACTGCTCCCCGATGGCTTCGCTCCTGGGCGTCTGGGGGCATAATGTGGGGTATGGGGTATGGGGGATACGAAAGACCCAGGAGAAGCGGGGGAGGGGCGCGGAATCCAGGGCGACTCCCGACGGTTTAAGTAGTTATAGATGTGGAGCCGCGGAAATTCGGGCGCGGATGGGCGTGAGCCAATGTCAGATCAATAAAACTGACGCTTGCCGGGATATTTCCGTATTTGGTTCGACAGCCAGCCCTAGCATCGATCACACGAGATCAAGCAAGATCTATAATTACGGGGATATGCCCATGTGGCACCTGCATACTTTTATCAACTACTCTTGTCTTTGCCTCCATCTTTTGTTCATAACTCCGTTTCACGATGAATCCTCATTTGTATCAGGTACGTCCTCGGTCGACAGTCTTTTCTCGCTACCGCAGCTGATAGAATTCTCTAGCTCCTCGTGGGCCTATTTGCCTCCCTTGGCTCTTTCCTGTTTGGGTGAGTGGGTGGTTCTATAGCCTTTGATCCAGCGCCGCAATTGAAAGCTGATCATTTGTGCGGCTACAACCAGCTATGACCTCGGCGTTATTGGCGGCGCCGTCGCCTCACCTTCCTTCGTAGGAACGTTCCATAACCCGTCGGTCAATGAAATGTAAGTGTTCGTCACCAGTGCCTAGCCAGTTACCCCGCTGGTCGACCCAAGCTGCTCACGCGTCTCCTTTAGCGGTGCTGTTGTGTCCGTCTTTACGGGCGGAGCTTTCTGCGGTGCTGCTGTGGCAGGCATCACTGCCAATCGCCTTGGTCGCCGCTGGACCATCGTCTTGGGCTCTTTGATCTTCTGTCTTGGCGGCGCCTTGCAAACGTCCGCCCAGAACCTCGGATATCTTTACAGCGGCCGGTTGATTGCAGGTCTCGGTGTCGGCGTTCTCGTGATGATCATCCCATTGTATCAAGCCGAGATTGCCCATCCTGCTATTCGCGGACGTCTGACAGGGCTGCAACAACTCTTCATTGGGTTAGGGGCTACGACCGCGGGTATGTCTAGACCATCTTATTATTCCCGCTGCGCAAGCAACCCTCACGTGAAAGCGGGCTTTAATGCTCTCTAGTGTTTACCGCACACGGAACGGTCAGCAATTTTGTCAGTGATAATCAGTGGCGCGTGCCTCTCGGTATCCAGATCATCCCGGCCGGCATTCTAGGAGCCCTGATACTCCTATTCCCAGAGTCCCCCCGTTGGCTCATGGATCACGACCGACACCAGGAGGCGCTCCAAACGCTTGCGAAACTTCACTCCAACAATGATCTTAACGACCCATGGGTTCTCGCAGAATATGAGCAGATCAAGAGTACGATCCAAGATGAGAAAGAAAATGGCGCTTCGAGTCTATACGAGCTCTTCAAGGACCCGGCATCTTTTCGGCGACTAGTTCTTGTCACGGCCATACAGGCGTCCGTCCAGATGACAGGAGTCTCTGCAATACAATACTTTTCCCCGAGCATCTACAAACAGGTCGGAGTTGGGACAGCGCAGGCACTGCTGTACCAAGGCATTTCATACATCTGGGGCATTGCCGGTCAACTGTGCACCGTCCTCTTCATTGATCGAATCGGACGACGCTGGCCCCTGATTCTTGGGAATCTTACCTGCTCCGTCAGTTTCATCGTCACGGCTGCCGTTATTGCCAGGTTCAACGACGTCGGCCCATCGGCGCAAGTGGGTCTCCTCTGGGCGTTCCTCGTTTTCGGATGGATCTTTCAATTCGCCTTCTCCATGTGCTGCGGTTCGCTCTCCTGGGTCATTCCCGCGGAGATATTTGATACCAAAACCCGAGCTCATGGCGTCGCCATTGGCTGCCTCGTCAGTTTCGCCTTCAACACAATGATCGGACAGATCACAGATCCGGGTGAGTCTTCCTGTCACATTGTTGCTGACGTACTCGTAACTGACATAGACCAGCCATTGCGTCACAAGGCTGGAGGTATTTCCTCCTCTTTGTCATCTGCAACGTCACTAATGCCATTTTCTTCTGGGCATTTTTGCCAGAGACCAAGGGCATCCCTCTCGAAGAGATGAATCGCTTGTTCAAAGAGACAKGTTGGTTCATTCCGGCACATAAAGGCAGGCCTCATACCACCGATTTGGCGGTCACGCAGAAGGAGATCGAGGAGAAATCTGGCACAGCTCATGTAGAGGCCTCGCCCTAAGTATATCTCTGTGGCATCCCGTCTGGATTCCTTGGGAAGTGACAATTTCGTATTTAAGCACAGGGAGGATGGGTCGTTGGGGACAGAGTCCTTGGGTAGCTACCGGACGCCATACAGTAAACTCCCGTTTTCAGCACGGCTCCGTGGAACAGAATTTCGGTGTGCCTGATGAAAGTGTGCTTATTAATCCTAAGCTTTTTTTGGTCTAAAGTAGTCATCCACCCTCCTCTGCTTCTTCCCATCTATCTCGAGTCGAGAAAAAGATGACCGATCCTTTCACTATCACGTAGGTCTCTCTCAGTAATGCATTCCTGGTGCTGGGCAAATTGAAGAGCTTTCTGCATACATTCAATAGCTTCAGCATGTGAGGAGATATCTAGTGGTAGTCCAAATATAGATTCGTCCGGATTATCTGTGTCAGCACTACCATTACCACTCGCGTCTTTCAAAAATCGATGATAATATCGAATAAATCGGGCTCTTCAACGTCAATATTTTTACCTAGGGGGTCTAAGGATTAATCTAATTCCGTAGGCCCAGTACTAGGAAGCCGGTTGACTACCTATGCTTATAAATCACCTAGTTGAAGGTCTTCAGATTGTGACGTATTTAACTCATTAGTGCAACGACTATTGATTGTACTCTTAGTAAAGCACTTCGGAATTATGCCTGGACTGCGACATTCCTCAGTGAGCGCACTACGACTATTAAACTGCAGAATTCACTGCCCCATCAGCGCCGATCCGGACAGGCATTCCACAAGGATCACCAGTAGACACTGGCCTGGCATAGTGGTGCGAGGTGGGTTGAAACGCGACGTAGGAGACGCGGGATTTGGGAAGGATGTCTCCATCGCCCGCTGCATTTCTCCGCTTCCCCAGTATCCAGCCACGGCTA